ACGTTTTACTGTTTACTGTTTATCATAGGCTGTGCATAATTTTCTCCATACAAGTTTTCTAAATTTGATTCCAAATATGTAAAATTAATTCTCATTGGAGAAAATAACTCATTTTCAGAACTTTATAGGTTTATTTATACGCTTTCTTAATCATTTTATTCTATTATATCTGGATATGTATGGCTTCTTTCCTGCAATCAGGGTGTAATACATGCATTTCTTCAAAATTTTCCGCACAGTATCAGGACATATTTTGTTTTCAAGTATTTCGGCAATATGTTCAGTTATTTTGAAGGCTGTTACTCTTGGATTTACTTTCACCTGGTTGATTATGCTACGTCTTCCTCTATTTGACAGAATTGTGGGGCGGTGAGTGAGAGGTTTAGAAACGTAAGTACTCGTCTCTTTGAAGTTATTTGTTATTCTAAAATTTAAACTAATTTCACGTCTTTTATTTTATATTGTAAAAATTTATTGCTTATATAAAAAATATTATTAAATGATTAATTTTTAGACTCTTTACGAAGTCAACTGATAATTAAATATCATTTAATGACACTTTTATGATTGCAAGCGAATTTAAATTAGCGGTAAATGTAAATATTAAGAAATATCCGTAGACTTTTTCTGCTTCAAAAATTGCTACTTTTGCATATAATTGTGTTTAATTTTTTTTTAAAGAGTAACTGTTAATTTTTTATATTGGAACTTTATTGTTGTTTCTTTGGTTAAAATAAATTAGGAAATAAAAATGAATTTGAGTAAAAATTAAAAAAGTTATGCGTAATATAAAAAAATTATGTGAATATCCGTAGACTTTTTCTACTATGTGTATATAAATGAATAAAAATAAATGACCAATCAGGATACTATTTAAAAAACCATACATGGTAAAATAAAGAAAAATCATACTATATAATAAATATCACTATTATATTAAAAAAATTAAATTTAAAATCGCAATGCTAACTAAAAAACCAATAACTAGTATATAATTAAAAATACTATTAAAGACCATGTATATGAATACCACCGAATGAATTTTGCACAACATCCAAAATAAATAGACCCTAACTATGAAAACTAATGCATTTTAGCTTGGTTTTTTTATTAAACAACAACATACCTTCACAGACTCGCTACCTCCGGTTCTTGGCTCGGATAATTACTGTTGTCCTTTGTCTTTCCTGTTCCGCTATCAAAGACCGATGTAACTACACACATTATTTTTTAAAAAACCTAACTCACAATACTAAAACCAGAAAACCCAGTATAATTAAAAATATTGTTAAGAATCCATATGATCTGCGTACTACTGTCATCTTCAAAATCGGCACAACATTCAAAAATAACTATAAACAAACCCCAAATATGAAACCAATACATTTAGCATATTCTAACAACAACTATGGTTGGGCTACTGCCGGTGTTTACTCAACTCATACCTCATATTAATATATATGAGACCAGCATAAAATTTCATAAAAAATCAAATTTATAATAATTTGGAAAAAGTTGTGCATTGCATGCACACAAAGTCAATCATATATTTTAGAAAAACTGTATACAAAAAGCAAAGACTATTTCTTTGAATTTGTGTGTCCATTCAACACTAAACAACGGTTCTTCGTGTTTAACTACTATTGAACGGCCTATCCTCTCTATTTCCTCTTAACCCAAAAGAAACAAAATTTTATAAATATAAAATTAAACAACAATTGATAAAAATTATATAAGATGAAGTGAATTCATAACATTCTATAATTCTTCAATGTAACACCTCATCACCAATTTTAAAAAACAATATTACAAGCCAGTGGCTTCAGCGTAAACTTAAAACTAACAACATTTATAAAGTCAAGTGAGAACAACTAACAATATATTAAACATATAAAACAATTTCTATACTCTACAACAGTATTTTCTATACTCTACTAAACTTAATATTAATAAATCCTAAGATTATTGTCCTTGGGGGTGACAGGTAAGAGATGGTGGCGGGGTTTCTCTTACCTGTCACCCCCAAGGACAATAACCTTAGGATTTATTAATATTAAGTTTAGTATTAAAAATAACATGTTTATAGTATAAATAGTTTGTAAGATTGCTAGATGTTTTAATATTAGGAATTCTCCTGATGAAGGCAAAAGCGAATTTGCCGAAACACGTGTAGAGATACACAAAAAAACTTTCGAAATAAAAGTTAGTATATTTAAAAAACAAAAATAACCGCATTTAAACATTTTCGAAGTAACGACTCAAAAATTAAAACAAAAATAAATATAAGCCCAACATGGCACTCGAGTCAAAAAAATTCCAAAAACTAAGAACATCAATAGCAAAACTAAGCAAAGACATCGCCTTCCTGAAGAAATGCAGCAAAGAAAATATCACCCCCGTCAGCCACAGGATATCAATCAAATCTAAGAGAATTTCCTCAACTAAAATACACAAAATGGAAATAGATTTAATGCAAGATTCAATTCAATCATCGAGAGCCGAGTTAGACATAAAAACAAGAGAAGCATACTATTTGCACCTAAAACTAGCGAAAGAATACCCATTACAGTTCGACCATTTTCTCAAAAAAATTAAGACCACTGAGACTTTCGAAAGGAAAAAGAAGTCCATAACTCACAGCCACAAGGTGAAATCACTAAAAACAAAGATAACCCCAACTCCGAAACCAACAGTAAAAAAAGTGGAAAATTTCGTCGTCAACCAGTCAACACAACAATTTATCGAGGACCAACTAAAACTACTCAACAATGGCTTAAAACACGCAATTAACGAGAACCCCAACATAGAACAACTAATTGTCGATATAGAATCCGCAATCAGGACCTCAACCAAAGAGTTTCCCCTATCACTGGAAGACCAATCAGCCATCAGAAACCTCACAGCAAGCGTCATCGAATCTACTAACACGCAACCAAAAAGAATAAATAAAGACCAAAAAGTGTTAAAAGAACTTAAAAGGAAACCAGTATATTATATAAAAGCTGACAAAGGAAACGCATTAGTCATAATGGACAAAGACGAATACGATCAGAGAGTCCAAGAAAAAATTGATAATGGCCCCTACAGAGAATTCAGAATCAACCCCCTACCGGAAATGGTCAACAGAACCAACAAACTCGTCGAAAAATGCTCGAAATTTTTAGAGTTCGATAAGAAACAAATGAAGGAACCCGCACCCTCACTTCCACGATTCAAAGCCTTACCAAAGATTCACAAACCTGAAAAAGAAATGAGAGAGATTATAACAGCAGACAGATCCCCATGCCAACGCATCGCCAAATGGTTGGTAAAGGAACTAACCTGCATCCTAGGCAGCTCTCACAGTTTTTCTGTAAAGAACTCCAAAGAATTCGCAGAAAAACTAAAATTGGAAAACATCACGGGAGATGAAGAAACCGTATCATTCGACGTAAAAGCGTTATACCCTAGTGTTAACGTAAAAGAAGCTATAAGGATCCTTGAGGAAGAGCTCCTCAAAAATAAAGTCAACAAAATTAAAATAATGAATTACATCCAGCTAACACAACTCTGCATGGAAGAAAATTACTTTACCTTCAGAGGCAGATTCTTTAAACAAACAAAAGGCGCCCCTATGGGTAACCCCTTATCATCCCTCTTAAGCGAACTGTTTATGAGCAGAATAGAGTCCAGCTTAAAAGAAAAAAATTACCTACCAAGAGTATGGATCAGATATGTAGATGATGTATTCGCAATCATAAGGAAAAACAAGCTACAAGAAACTTTAGAAAATCTCAACAGTGCACACAGGAACATTGAATTCACACACCAACGAGAAAACAACGGCTGCCTACCATTCTTAGACATACTTACACAACACAAAAACGGCATTTTCGAATTTAGTATCTACAGGAAACCAACGAGCACAAAACGTGTCATAACCAAAAATTCAAACCATTCATTCCAACACAAAATGGCTGCTTTTCATCACATGATACATAGAATGCTCACGCTACCCCTTACACAAGCAGCCATCAATGAAGAAACTACATACATTAAAGAAATAGCGGACATCAACGGATACCCTCAAAACACCATCGATAGAATCATAAAAAAGAAACGAAGGCAACTACATTCCAGGAACATGACGACATTGACAGCAGAAAAACCAAAACAAAGAAGAGTCGCTGTAGTATACAATAACACTGTCTCCAAAGGTCTAAAATCCAAGTTAAAAAAGTTCAATATCGACTTAGTTCACTCTAGTAGACCACACCAACTTGAATGCCTTTTACCATCCGCAAAAGACCCAATTGACCCATTCGAAAAATGCGGAGTATACAAAATAGAGTGTGGCTCCTGCAACAAAGTATACATCGGACAAACCAAAAGACCCTTATCAGTAAGACTTGAAGAACACCTGAAGGAAGTAAGAGAAGCACCGAAGAATATGAACCCCCACATAAAATCAAATGTCGCCAGACATATAGTAAAGGAAAATCACCAAATCAACAGGGAAAACGCCCAAATAATCAAAAATGTAAGAGATAGCTGGAAATTAGAAACGGCAGAAAGCATCGAAATTCATAAATATCAGACCACAACTTTACTCAACGGCGACAAAGGCATCGTGTCATCGTGCCTTTTTAGATACATCCCAAAAAACCGACAACCAGTCGACCTAACTACCTGTATGTAAAATAAAAACAACACCAGACCAACCCCGCCACCATCTCTTACCTGTCACCACCAAGGACAATAACCTTAGGATTTATTAATATTAAGTTTAGTATTAAAAATAACATGTTTATAGTATAAATAGTTTGTAAGATTGCTAGATGTTTTAATATTAGGAATTCTCCTGATGAAGGCAAAAGCGAATTTGCCGAAACACAAAAAAACTTTCGAAATAAAAGTTAGTATATTTTAAAAAACAAAAATAACCGCATTTAAGTATTTTACTGTTTTACTGGATCCCACTTCAGAGCAACCGGTTAGAGTTCACCAGCGTCTGTCTGCATCATTGCAAACAGGTGGTTTGTGTATAAGGTTGCTATACATTCTTTCAATTTCTATTTCTTATATTAAATTAAATTCCACCACTAGGTGTCACCAGTCCTGATACTCTGTGGCAGCACAAAAAGCGTGCCAAGCGCCAAATGCGGTGAAAACTACAAAAAGTAGTTTTTTGGTAAAAAGTGTGTAGAGTTAATAATAAGAATGATAACAATAAAAAGAAGAGACAAAAAGTCTAGCTAAAGTGTGCACAAGAATAACAACGTGTTTTTATTTAACTGATAGTGTATAGAAAATTAATGTGGTTTGTGCAACTACAACTGGTGACCCCTACTGAAAATAACACTGCAATATTAAACAACACCAAATAAAACAAAA